TGACAGTCCAGTACTTCATCTGTGGAGCTTTACCGGTTTCTTGCTTTCAAGCGACCTTCATAAATTTAAATGCCAAGTCAAACCTGGAACCTGTTCTTTTATTGTCTTTTCTCCTCTCTACAGTCTTCTCATTCTTCTTTCACTCTCAGTAACCTCTTGTGCGTTAGTGGCATTAACAAATTACTTGGAGAGAAATAATTAAAACATATATATATATATATTAATAAAAAACAGACCACGTTAAGATTTTTTTTTATTACTTTTTCAATTCAAACATATCTGCTCTGAATTTTACACAGATCTCTGGATATCATCCGCCACAGGGGTTCTACTGATATGGATTACCTAAGTTTGCATAAAGGAAAATATATATATATACAACTGGAATTCCCCAGAAATATGTTGACATTCTTCGTTAGATTGAATATTTACAAACATGCATTTATTTTAATATTTAATTTAAACCGTTAATCTTTTTAAAGTCAATAAGCATTAATATTTCTTAATTTTAACAATTAATCATTTTTGTAAGTCAATAAACATTCAGAAAAGAGTAATGTGATTTTTTATGGGTAGGAGTAAAAGTCAGTATATTATATATAAAAATATATATATATATATATATATCAATATATATATATATATAATTATTTTATTTTAGGCTCATACAAAATAATATTTATTTTTTGAAAAGGAGGTTAGCATCAATAATGAAAATATGTAAAAAACTAACTTTATACAAGTTTTTCCTTTTGAAGTATGTATAGATTTTGGGTCTCTCTCTCTCTCTATATAATATATATATATATATATATATATATATATATATATATATATAAACACACTAGCTTAAATTCATTCTGTCCGGCGGCATTTAGTTATTTTTGTTTTTGTAAGGTTTCTTGATTATTTTCGGCTTGTTCAGGAGTTAAGAGTCCCATTCTTTGCATATTCCAATGATGGAAGTTTTCCTTTTGCCGTTTGATCTGGGTTTTCATTTGCACGGGACTTTCATTTTTTTTTGCAAATTTATTCTTTTGATTGAATTATTTGGCCCTTTATTGACGGAGATTTCTTTTGCGACCCATACTGGGCTGCCGTATGTGATTCCAACAATAAACCGGGAAGAACTCAAAACTGATCACTACATTTGAGTATTGCATTAAAATTTAAGCTTTTTTAAAAAGTTCAACGATAATTCTTCTGTCGCTACTTAATTTCAAGAAAGTTTGATGTACGTAGGTCCTTACTTTCCATACAAACAATTATTTTTATTTCATGGGGGACTTTCGCTGAATTTTGCAATTATTTTTGATTATCCCCAAATTTATTTTCAAATTATAAAAGTTGTTATTGTACAAAAAATTAAAAAAAAAAAAAAAAAAAATAAAACTTGCTAAAAAATCTAAATGAAAATAATCATGTAAAAAAAATTTGGGAAATAATTGCCATTTTAATTTGTTAAAAAAGTAGGCCTGAAAAAATTCCAAAATGGTATGATATGTTGTGCTACTGCCACTAGGAGTAAAGTTGAAAAAATGTGACACACTGTGACATTGAAATTAGCATTTATTTATATGGATAATAAATATTTCCATCTTTTTAAATATAAAACCTTTCTAATATAAAAAAAAATATTTTAAATTTAAAATCTAAAAAATATAGTTTTTTTCTTTGTTACACTTATATTACTTAAACTTAAAATATTTTTATAAATGGAATTTAAAAGAAAAACAAAACTTCCATAGTAAGTATTATTTTATATATTAGATTTTAGAAACTGAACTGCCAATGAATTTTTAGACAGCTGAAACAAAATAACAGATTTATATAAATATGCCATATACTCATTAAGAAACTGTCTTGGTAGTGCTTTGGTTTATCTACAAGAAATATTCAAGGAGTCAAAAATAATTGAGATGTAAGTCTAAAGAAAGGGAAATTTAAGACATGAATAAATATACAGTAGTGTTGGGTGTGTCAACCGTGTAAATTTTTGCATGTGATCTGCTTTTCAATGTGCCATTGATGTTTACGTTACCTTATGGAACAATGTATCCTCGTCGGAAAAATAAAGAAAAGCATATATAGTCGGCTAAAGTTCTGTAAATTTTCATGATAGAAACTAAATATACTAATGGTCTTTGAAACGGAAAACAATATATTTATATGTTGCACAGCTATAAAAATTTTGCATATGTTTTCTCATAATGAATTCTAGGCTAAAAAATATTTTTACCGCCATGATCTATTGGGAAATATAATATTTGATTTTCTATTGCCTTAATTACTTGATTGATTTGCTTTTTACAGTTTATCAACCTGTTTCATGTTATTTAAAGCCAGAAAATATTTTTAGATTGTAAGATTTTTCTGTAGATAATAATAGTTTAGTGATACAAGTGTTACTAATTAAACCATAGATGTGGCGGAGAATAGGTGAATACGTAATAGAAATAAGGGTTTTTTTGCATTTTGAATATAATGAATCAAACGGGAATTGGAAATTTTTTCCTGATTAACAATTAAGAGCCATTATCGATTGCACCACCCGCACAATCTAACAACACCTGGTATTCCCAAGCGGTCAACCATCTAGGTATTGACCCGGCTCGACGTTGCTTAACTTAGTTTTCCATACGGGAACCGATGTTTCAACCTTATGTGACCGTTTTAATTTTAAAGCTGAAATTTAATTTTGAACCATAGTATTGATACAACCCCAAAACTAGATAGGTGTCTATAGATACTATTTAATCCATAGCTACTGGAGAAGAGGTGGAATCATGCATGTTCCCAAGGCTATTTTTACTCAAAAAAAAAATAGTAAAGAGACAAGGTAGGAATTTGAACCCGGTTCACCAATTCCATAGATAGCCCTCATAAAGTTGAGGTTAGAAAGACATTGAATTGAGAATCATTTTGAAATCAAATAAAATTCCTGTCCATTGACAAATGCATTATTTTGGTAATTTTTCAAATCCATTTTCAAACATTATGAAAAGTTATCCCTCATCTGCATGATAGCAATATTCACAACGTTTCGGCATTTGTACCCTCCGGAATTTTCAGGCAAAAAAAAGAACCGAACCCTTTATTTCATCCATTGGGGGTAGATTTTATAGTTAAATGTGCCATTTCTTCCGGATGTCTCAAAATTTACTTTAGAATTTTAATTTCTTATAGTTATTTTTTATTTTCAAGGACACATGGCCCAGTGGATAAAGACGTTGGTTAGATCCAGTGACTAGATCCAAAGACATGAGTTCAATACCAGGCTACAAAGTATTTTTTATAAAAAACTTGGAGAGCTGAGTTAAAAGGAATCGGATCAGTGGATAGCGACAAGAAAATAAACGTATGGAAGTATTAAATCCCGTTGTCGTTAAAATACGAGCATTTTTGATGTTTCATCTTTCCTTTTCAGTACCGACTAAATCTGCTGCGTCATTTTGTATGTATGATGAAAGATTAGCCATTTCAGACAGACTTACACGTGATATCACGCGTCAGATAAACACACTGTGTTAATAATAATAATAATAATAATAATAAATAAGATTAGTAAATAAGAATAGGAAAATTATTCAGAGTGTGCGAAGGTTCTCAGTTTTTTTACAGTATAATAATAATAATAATAATGATATTAATAATGATGATGATAATGATGATGATATTAATAATGATGGTGATAAAAGTAATAATGACGATGATGATGATATTAATAACGATAATAATGATGATGGTAATAATAATAATAATAATATTAATGATATTAATATTGATGATAATAATAATAATAATGATGGTAATAATGATGATGATAATAATAGGGATGATATTAATAATGTTAATAATAATAATAATAAGGCTATTATTAATGATGATAATAATAATCAATGATGATAATGATAATAATTTTGATATTAAAATGATAATAATTAAAATGATAATGATGATGTTAAGGATGATGATAATATTGATAATAATGATGATGTTAATGATGATGATATTATTGATGATAATAATAATGATAATAATGATAATGATAATAAATTTATTGTCCATGGTTAAATGTAATTGGCAGAAATGCCAAACAAGCAGAATTGACAAGGTTTGCAATTGTTTTTTCTAACACGAGAAATAAAAGATTTCGATGCAAAATGATATTAAACCAACAATATATGCAAAAAAAAACAGTAATAGGCAAACATTTAGAATCTAAGAATGGTGTTAACGCACAAAACAAAAAGACAATTTGATCGCAGCGTTCTTTAAAAGACAAGAAAGAAGAGATATATATGAGAAAGACCGAGATTTTTGAATATTATTATATTAGGTTGAAATAAATGCATGCATCTGTATGTTTTTGTTTATAAATGTTCACATTTTGCATGTTTTCGTTCCAATAGGAGTGGAACCACCGCGAATAATAATAATAATAATAATAATATGACAATGATGATAATAAAATAATAATAACAGCCCAGATGCCCATCACGTATGGCTCTCATGGCTTCTGATCTTAATCGATTGGAAATGTTAACATGTACATATTTGTCTTATTGAATTAAGATGGGATGACAGAAAATATCCCGTTCACTACCGCAGTTATGTTCGTAAGTTGATTTTATGTCCTAAGAGGGTGATCCCATGTATATCTATTAATGAGCGAGCAAAAGAAAACATTGTGAAGGTAGCCTAGAGGAACCATGTTCGTTTTAAATTTGAGGGATGATCAGATAAACCAACTTGGGAGTCATATCTAAATACTTAGTGGAACGCTCAATCGGACACCATTTTTATTTCTTAAACAGTGAAAATGATAACAACAAGTCTTGATTGAGAAGTTCTACTAAAGAAAGATTTCCTCCGATAGAATCGAACTTGTATCACTTTTTTCCATCAGTAAGAAAAATCAATGTACCCATAAATTATCGTTTATGTTAAAATTAATTGTTATATAGCAAAAAATTAAATCGACATTTGATTTTGAACGGAGATTCGCCAGAGAGTAAACACAGGCGATCCTGTTATTGAATTAAGTAGACCACGTGACCATAGAGGAAACGCATAAGTGGGAATCAGCTTGGCGTCTAACTGATCACCTTTTCAAGTTTATCCTCTATACTATACGGATCGCTATTTCTACTCTATCCTCTATTAATATACAGATCGTTATTCTCTACTCTGTTCACTATACTGTTCATTATACTATTCCACTATTCGGTGGTTACTATTCAAGTGAGTATTATTGAGCAAGTACTATGAGTGCGAGTGCTATTCGAAGTCGTCTGACATCAGCATTGTTCAACGGCGTTACTATAGTTTTATCTGCGATTAGAAAGTCTCTACTACAACAATCATTACGAAAGTGGCAACGAGTATTCTTTGACGTCACAAAAGAAATAATGTCGGATAAAAAAAAAATCAATTTAAAAAATTATTGCTGTTTACGTTTTAAGTACGAAACTGAAGTTAGCAGATATGGATTCTTGGAAGTCCCAACGAGAAACATGCTTTCCATTAACAGGTGATTCAAACCTTGTTCTATCAACGCGGCCAAATTGGTAAAGGCACATTCCGGCTTTAGAAGCGTTCCTTGATGAAAAAAAAGGGATATATGTTCGATTTCTGTTAGAGGCACATTTCTTTTTTCGGACTTCTGAATCTAGGTCAGTTGTTATTAAATTCAAATTTAAAAACAAAACAACAACAAAAAAAAACAGTAGGGATAGCAACTGAAATGGGGTATCAACTAAAAATAACTTTGTAGTAAAACTCGATGGGTGTGGCGATTGAATAACTCATGTTTATTAAGTTTCATACTGCATCACGGTAATGCCTCTTTTGAATGATATTATTACTATTATTATTGTTTTGATCAAACCTGTCTATTTTAAAAGATTCATCTCTAACCGCGTGAATTGGCAGTGACAAATATGATACAATATCCAAGTACATACATATAAAGAAAGCATTGATTAAACATATAACCAAATATATCATTTATATTCAGTGTTGTTAATGCAATCTTTTGTTACCAAGATTTTCGCTATTTCTCTACCAACCAAAACTGAAAGTCAAGAGGGAAACAAAAGGTGGCGTTTCCTTGAAGAATGAAGACGCACGATAATGTGTGTCCACTTCTTCCGTGGATTAAGGCGAAGTTACTTTGAAAAGAACGGAAAAAAAACAAATGTTAGGATTAATCGGATGAGACATAAGCTTAAATGGCACGTTGCTGAACAGTCTTTCTGCCAATTATCGACAATTTTCCAGCATTTGATCTTATGTGATCTTACCGAAAGCTGTGATCTTCGTGATATATATGTGTGTGTGTGTATGAGTTTGTGTGTCTGTGATATATATATGATATACATGTATGTGTGTCATATATATATATATATATATATATATATATATATGTGTGTGTGTGTATACATATATATGTGATTTATACGTATACATATATGTGCGTGTATGACATATGTATATATATGTGTGTATGATTATATATATGATATATATATGTACACATATATGTGTGATATATGTGTGTGATGTGATACATATATAAGTGTGTCTGTCATATATATATGTGTGTGTGTGTGTGTGTGTTATATATACATATATATATGTGTGTGTGTATACATATATGTGTGTGTGCGTGATATATATATATATATATATATGTGTGTGTGTGATATATATATATATATATGTGTGTGTGAGTGTGTGTGTATATATATATATATATATATATATAATGTGTGTGTGTGATATCTAAAGTTGTTTTTGTTTTAACCGTCTTAGTTTCTGACTAATCTATCCCGTTCTCTTAACACTATTTATCTACCTTGCTACTTGTCTCTCACTATGTCAGCATATCTATCTATTTTGTTTGTCTCATTCTCTTTTTAAATACATATATACCTGTATGTATATATATATATATATATATATATATATATATATATATATATATCAGTAACCAAATTGCGTCTTAGTGGCCTTATTGCCTTGATTGAAGTTCAAATTTGGCTGGAAATCAAGAAACTGGATGAGGTTATCGAAAATAAGAATAATGGCGAATATGGTGTCTTCGATTATATTTTGAGATAAGCTTTCTAATTCCTGCATATCTGTATTTGATCATCTAATACTTTTTTTTATTATTTTGTATCAAATTCGAGTTATAAAATTGTTCTTAAAATATTTGCAATTTTTACAATATTTACAGGCGGACATTTAAAAAAAATATCAACGATGACTTTTTATATTGGCATTATAGCCCAAATTTTCATTGTTAATATCACACAGTTCTGGCCGTTCTGCCCTCCGACCGTCATCAGGTGCTCTTGATTCGTGTAACCTTTAAGGAACTTCGAAAGGAATCCTTATTTACAGGGATAGAATCTTCTTGTTCCGAGGACCAAGCCTAAGGGTGCCTTGTTCTCTTATTTAGTACAGTTCAGTTATTGTACATCCCATTGCAAATTTAGTCCAAATAATACCTCCTCGTCACAGATGTTCAGGCAGAAACATTTATAAACTTTCCGGGTATTCCAGCGACGAAGAGGAAAACCGTAGTTTGTCTCCTCTTAGAAGAGTTAATTTCTCCATGTTAGTTTGTACTTGCCGGGAATCACAGGATTTTGTGGCAATAGA